GATCTGTCTTGAACAATAATGAAGGATGTGGTTCAAATCTTAACAGGCTGAAAACAATGAAAACATTGATGGTTCATTCACTGTTCATGGGGAATCCGCTCTTACATGCACTTGTAATCTTCTTTTAATGTTTGGAAAATTTGTTCACCATTATTCCAGTACTAAGAAAAACAATGTATAAAGGGATGTCTCTCCAGACAGCACAGACAATATGACACGCTTTAAAATTCTCTCTCCTTGCAGTTATATTTTATCAATGGTAGAGCATTTTGAAGCAATTTGGAAGTGTTGTCTGAGTAAGAACTCAGGACTTTGGTTAGCTAAGCATTTTCATTTGACTGACATTACAAGCTCAGGTTACCACACCTCACGTTAACATCTGCTTCCAATTTACCATCTTTGATTTCTCACATCCTCCAGAGGAGCTTGCCAAATGCTCCCACACTAATGCAAAACACAGGAGAAAAGCGCTTTACACCTCAGGCCATGTGAGTTTTCTTGACATCTGTTCAAGGATTCCAATCTTTTATCCCTTAAAGAGTAATAGATCTACATGCTAATATCAAACTTCCCATAGAAGATTAGTCTTCCTGCAGGTTATTAAAGCAGCACTATCAGGTCTTTGTTTTCCTCAGGGTGTCAGGCCAAGGTAGAGCCAAGTACAACACCCTGGAGAAGAGGGGCACAATACAGATCCCTCTTGGAGACAGTGCACAGCAATTTGTTGCTTAAGTTTCACACAGAAATTGGAACCCCTTGTGCCTCTTTCCCCAGGGAAAGAAAAGGGGTCCTGGTGGTCCCACAGAGCCAAGAGGCACTGATGTCTTGCACAACAAGAGTGAGCTCCAGACATTTTCCAGTCCTCAGGGGAGGCTTATTTATGGGAGGAGGAACTTGCTGGAAACATCCTAAAGGCAGGTAACAATCTCAACAAGCTTTTTACTGGAGACAAGCCTCCTCCAAAGCACAACAAGGGATATGGAAAAGGGGCTGAACCACGAACATGAGAAATTTGAGGAGACTTGACAGAGCTCACCATCATTCAGACCAGGTGCAAGTTCCAGGCCTCAGGAGATCTCCTTGGCATTAACCACCCCATCCCAAACCATTAGAGCAAGCAAAATAGAGCCAGAAACAGCTGCTAAATCGCTCTTCAGGAAAGCCTACTAGAAATCTTGTGATTTTAAAAACACAAGATCCTCTAAGTCTTCCTGTTGGACCCACACATCAAACCTATATCCATCACAGAAGCCACCACCATCCTGATCTAGTTGAAGATGTCCCTGCTCATTGCAGGAGGGTTGGACTAGATGACCTTTAAAGTTCCTTACCAATCCAAACCATTCAATCGTTCTATGACTCAATGAACTACCATAAGCTTCCTGGGAATAGAACAGTGGTACACTATTTAAGTATTTTCATTAGTAGACAATGAACTACAATTACATTATTGACTTTTTGAATGACATTGACCTTGTAGTTGCTACAAGCACTTTCGAATATCAGAACAGAATTCAAAAGGATCCTGGCAAATCAAAGCAATATGTGAAAGTCACAATTCAATAAGGACAAGTGCAAAATCCTACATTTAGAAGGAATAATCAGCTATTCAAATCAGAAAACAATGAGCCAAAGAATTTTTTTTTTAGGAAAGGATCTGAGGGCTCTTAGGAATTAAAAAAAAATAAAATATTGTGTAGGAAATATAATTGTACTTCAGAAAAAGCAGACACTTCTGTGTGTTTTACAAAGAGAAGAGTCACTTGTAACATACAAGAAGCAACCAATCAGTTCTACTTAGCACTGCCAGGGCTCATCTGCAACACCAGGCCAGTTTGGGGCACCATCATCCAAGAAACAAAACAACACACGAGGGCCAAAGGTAGCAGAGCCAGACCTGGGGCAGTCAGGTAGATGTCTTTCCTGAGGCAGGAGACAGACACAGCTGTACTGCGACATCAGCCAGAGCAGCTACATCTCACTAGCGGGAACTCAGAGCGTTCTCAAAAGAAAATAAGGTTCCTCATGAACTGTAAGAGCTGTATTTGCATAGAGGTGTGAGCCTGGTGTGAAACCGGCCACTTGACATATCAGCACTAGAGTGATTTCTACATCAATGTGAAGAACACTTTCCTGTGCTCAGTGTGTCACTGTCCTTGACAGAAGCGCTTGACAGCAACGCCCCGTCAAGTCGAGGGTGCTTTGGTTGTTCTAGTGATTCAGCTTTGAACCGGGGTCAGTACTGGATCCGAGAGCTGCTGAATCCTGGCATGATCTTTGCTGTCTTGAGCCTCAACACGATAATTGCTGTTCCTCCCTCTCTTGCCTGGCAGATCAAAGTGTGCAGGATTTCTTGCAAGCAGCGTATGAAGGAGCGACCAACTCCCACCAAGGCACAGCGGTACTGTGTGGATGCTGGCGTGCAGCTCTCGCCTGTCTTCGCTGCCAGTGTTGTACGCTGGGCAAACAGCAGCCTGCAGCAAACCAACTTCACTGACCCCAACAGAACCACAGCCCAAATACAGGAATGGATCACAGGTAACTATGGAGGTAGTGCAACAGCCTGTGAGAATGATCACATGTCATTAAAATGTGAAATAAGAGTACCGAGAGAGCCTGCGTTAAACCAATCATAAAGATTTTTGCCACACTTTTGTGCTGTCCAAATCAAGGCTAAGAGCCAGGAAATCTAATTCTTGTGCTGATGCTAATTTCTAATGTGTGGAAAGAGCTGGGATCTGTGAGTATAAATTTGCAGTATCAAACTGGCAACCACTTGGCCTTGTTCCTCTAATTTTTAAAATGGCAATCCCTTGCAGTGTTTTCAGTTTTAATGAGGAACAGCCAAGTTCCCCAGGGACCCTGCATTGAATGCTTTCATGCTGCTGTGGGGAACATGCAGGGCTGTAACCTCAGCAGTCAGATTCTGAGGCTAAAAAGTCAAAATGGGAAATAAAAGGAACTTACTTTCACACAAACAAGAAAATTAATTAAATTAAATTCTGTGTTAATGAAAAAAATAATTGAAAAAGTAATTCCTTAGAGGCAGCAGACCAAATCAATACCCAATTTGCCTCATCAACTTACGTTACATAAATGTTAATTTGGCCATAAGCATGTAAAGTGATGTAAACCACACATTAAAGCTGCTATTGAAAAAAAAACCTGTTCTTCTCAAATGAACCATAGTAAGTGATTCAGCTTCAAGATAGAAAAGTATTGTTCTAGAGGCAGGAACTAAAATGTGAATTCGTACTGTGGTACTCATATGATTATTAGTGAATCAAAAGTGGATCCCACTTCCAAAAATCTTTTGAGATACCCAAAGCAGGATCAGCTGAACTGTCAGTTAAATAAGAGAGAGGGAGAATTAGGATATGAGCTTCAGTTGACTTAGTTACTTCATAAAGCAATGTGTAACCATGAATGCATTTCACGAGGGATTCCTGGGGCTAAAGATGAAGCACTGTAAGACATGTATGGGCGTGTTTAAGCCAGGAGAACAGTTAGGGCCAGGGCACAGTACCGGGCACCAGGCTGCTGTCATCCATGCTCTCCCATGAGTCCTGGCACAACTTTGGCCCTCAGGATTGACTATTTTAAGCTTAGTTAGAGGGAGAGCATGGACCAGCAGGCAACCGCAACGACGTCTGTGTGCTGATGGGGAGGGGAAGGTCGAGGGTTTAGCAGTGCCTTGTGAGTTGTGCCTCTTGTCCTTCGGGATGGAAAGCAGTCCCAATTTGCTTTATTTACTTGCACGGACCTGTTCTTTAGGCCCGGGTGATTAGGACAGTGTGTGGCACTTCCCCACCTCTTTTCCATGCAGATGGGGATGTGCGTGGCATGCCGCTGGAGAGCGCTGGGTCACCGTTCAGCCAGGTTGCCCTGGTGAGCACCATGTACTTCAAAAGCGTGTGGCAGAAGAAGTTTTCTTTTATGGATACCCAGATGTTGCCTTTTACCACGATGGAGGGCTCAACCCTGAAAGTGCCCACAATGCATCACACAGCTGAAGTTAACTACGGTAACTGTCCTTGGTCCAGCTTTTGCTCTGTTGTACAACATAGAAAAGTTTTATTTGTTTAATTTCCACAGCTACTGCCCTAAGATGTGTTATTTTCCCAGCTTGGTGAAGTCTCAGAAGACAATCCCATTGAACAAAGAGACCACTTTGGGCGATTGAATTGACTCCTTATAATGCCAAGGAATCATGAAACAGAATCTGTGTTCAAAATGATTCCTAAAATATCTACTGTTCATGCCTCATCCCTCACAGACCACACCTCCCAGCAATCCATAACTAACTTGTCATAGAATCATATAATCCTAGAATCATAAAGGTTGGAAAGGATCATAAGAACATCGAGTCCAACCTACAGCCCTACACCACCCTAACACTAAACCATCTCCTGAAGTGCCACATCCAGCCGTTTTTTAAACACGTCCAGGGATGGTGACTCCACCACCTCCTTTGGCAACCTGTTCCAGTGCTTCACCACCCTTTCGGTGAAGACGTTTTTCCTAATACCCAATCTAAACTTGCCCTGGCACAACTTGAACCCGTTCCCTCTTGTCCTGTCGCTATTCACTAGGGAGAAGAGGCCAACACCCGTCTCACTGCAGCTGCCTTTCAGATAGTTGTAAAGAGCAATAAGGTCTCCCCTCAGCCTCCTCTTCTCCAGGCTGAACAGCCCCAGCTCCCTCAGCCTCTCTTCATGTGACTTACCCTCTAGTCCCCTAATCATTCTGTTTGCCCTTCTCTGTACCTTCTTCAGCACCTCGATGTCCTTCCCGTACTGTGGAGCCCAGAACCGCACACAGGACTCGAGGTGCAGCCTCACCAGTGCTGGGTACAGGGGCACAGCTCTATCAAACAATGAAGGGCACCAGGAACGTGCCAGGAGAAGGGAACAGGAGAGACTGGAGGTACCTTTGTATATAAAATCCTTTGCAATATCAGGGAACTTGCTAAATAAAGCTGCCTAGGAAGAGAGAGCCCTAGGAGGCACAAATGATCCCATGACAGAAGGGCATTGAAGACTAAAACAAGATCAAGCTCCCAGCAATTTGATTTTGGGGCTGGGTAAGAAATTTCCAGGCCCTGAAGCTTGGTCACTGTTTGTTCCTTGACTATGTGAGCACCAAAGACAGTATCGGTGGGAGCACCAGCACTCCACATCCATTCCTCCTTTCTCTGGTCACAGCTTTTCTTGAAGGATTTAGAGTAAAACTGCAAATCTTTAGGGCCAAATTCTTCAACAAAAGTGAGATATATTTTCACGGCCCTTACAACAAATCAGTGTGTGGTCTTAAAAAAGTATAAATACAGATCTAACATTTATTTGTACACTACATGAATATGAAAGGGATCATTTAAAATGTGCAGACTGTCAGATTTGATAGAGTCAATTCAGTCTTTGTCACTAGAAACGCTAGAAACATTTCTAACAAATCAGTTTGAAATTAATAAAAGACAGGTTTACTACAGCAAAACAGAGGCATGAGATAACTTTCCTTCATCACTAAAATATAGCAGCTGTCTACCATCATGATAGACAGGGGTGAGAAAGACTAACTGTAGCTTGTTATCGATCTCAGCATTTATAACATCCTTTATTCCTTTAATATGGCCACGCAGAACAAATCAGCCTGGAGGCAATTAACAATGCTCCAGGAAAATGTCAACATTACTATTTACACAAACCTTATAAACGCTACAGCTATTATTAAATATTCATTTTGCCAAGTAATTTGTTAAGTCTCTTTGAACACTCTTTTAGCATATATACAATTCTTATGGGATGCTGAAAAGCAGTTCAAGCTAGGAACGCTAAACGTTCTGACTCAGTAATCTCAAGTCTTTGATTTTCTTTCTAATTAACAAATAAGATCTCTATAACCTTTCTCCACAGCGCACTGACTTCAGAATATCAGCACGCCCACAGATTAAACCGCTCATGTCACAGAATCACAGAATCATAGAATGGTTTGGGTTGAAAAGGATCTTAAGGTTCGTCTCATTCCAACCTTCCCTGCCACGGGCACGGACACCTTCCACTAGACAAGGCTGCTAAAAGCCCCACCCACCCTAGCCTTGTCCAGGGCACTACAAACATCGGTCTCCCCTGCTTGCTCATTACAAACCAGAAGGTCTTTTCTTGGCAAAGCGATCCGCGTGCTGGGAGGTGCAGTTCCCTCTCCATGTTTCACGTTGGGAGAGCAAATCTAAGAATCTAAGCTTGGATATTGGGAAAAACTTCTTCACCGAAAGGGTGGTGAAGCACTGGAATGAGTTGCCAAGGGAGGTGGTGGAGTCACCATCCCTGGACGTGTTTAAGAAACGGCACTTCAGGAGATGGTTTAGTGTTAGGGTGGTGTAGGCTGTAGGTTGGACTCAATGATCTTAAAGGTTCTTTCCAACCTTTATGATTCTATGAATTCTATGAATCTACAATTCCATCTGGCAGAATAATCAACACCTAATGAATCCTATCCAGTACAGATCTGAAAAACTAACAGATGTCGTAGATCAAACATTTGAGACATCCTACAGCTACTTATTTATTGACAAATATTTAGGTATTATGAAGATGAGCTACCTATGTTTGGTTATTTACAATCACTCACTCAAAAACTGTGAGTATCTGGTAGATTAAATATTTTGGAAGGCTTGCAGCAATCACAATGATAGATCATTTGCTTGCAACTTGTACTTAAATCCTGGCTTGCCAACTATTTGCTGAGTGTTTCTGAAATGCCATTTGTTGGATTAACAGTTGAATAAGGAAGTAAAATCGTAATAGTTGAAACTGCTTACTGCATAATGGAGTCCCTTAGAAACCCCTGAACTAATTGTTTATTGAAATATGGAATTAAAATGGCACATTAAATGGCTGTTACAAATTGTTTCATAACCAATTACAAGTTCAGAAGCCCACCAGCTCTTACTTTTGAGAGTAGTTTACATAACCTTCATCTGATTTTGATATGGTTTAGACCTAGATTTTCAAACATAAGAAATCTGGTGCTTAAATGAGCATAAGCCTAAATAGTGTTCACTGTAGCTATCTGTTTCCTGAAATAAGGTTAAAAATGATTTTTAAAGGTAGTAAAGATAGAAACAAGAGGCACAGTAGGTTTCAGTTAACTCAGTAGAACGCTCCTCATTTTGTTTTTGTAATTTCTTCCAGTAGTGAATTTTTAGTAAGAGGTATTAGATGGAAAATAGCGAGCTTACTCAAAGAACAAGCATTGCAGGAACAGTTACTGTCATTGCCTCGGAAATGTTTTTTAAAATCTGAGCAAGGAGGACAGCTACTATATGAGAAACTAATAAAATATCCATGTTCCATTGAGCCAGCCCTTCAGGTACTATTACTGTCATGAGCATTTTTCTGCTAAGATATATATGGATTTTTTTAAAAGTCATTATTTATTTGTTTATTTTGACACAATCAGCTCTGTTCAGATGAGCCAATTGTGTGAGTTAAGAGCATCCAGAGCTGGCTACAAGAGCCCACGGATAAGAGATCATCCCTTACATCTCTGAATCATCTGCTGTCTCAGGTTTGGGTTTTCACCCACTCTTGAACGATGAAATAAGATCTATGTTTGCCCACCCACAGGCCAGTTCCAGACTGCAGCTCTGGAGGGTTTCAGCGTCGTCGAGTTACCCTACCTGGGGGAGAAACTCAGCATGTTCCTAGTCCTTCCCAGCCACAGAACAACATCTTTGTCCCAAATTGAGTCTCACCTTTCTGCCAAAACCATAACCCTCTGGGCCAACAGCTTAAAGAGAACGAAGATGGACATTTTTCTACCTAGGTAAGCCATTTTAGTACTCCAAGACAGCTTCATTACTTCAGATGTCAGAATTCTGTGTGACAGTGCTGATATGAGCAATACGTGAGGCTTAAATTAAATGAGATGCTTTCAGTTTTGTTATTCATCACATGACCAGAAAAGCTCTTACCCTTTCTTAAGCCATGAAGAGGTGTGCCAGGAATTCAGAAACTTTCTAGTATTCTCTGTACCGTTTTAACAAAGTAAGTATTTCAGCTACAGCTTTTACTTAAAATTTGTTTGGGGTACAACAATCCTTTAAAGATCTAAAAGAGATAAATATTCCTGGCCCTTTTCCACGCTCCATTTTTCTCTTTACTTAAGGAAGAATAAATATTTAACCTTTAAAAAAACCACAATATCTTATTGCTACAACCCGTTAGTGCTCCACAAAAGTGCTCTGCAAAGAACCTGGGGCCCTCCACCAGTCATCCCCATTTTCCTAGGCACAAAGCAAGTTTCAGTCACCTGTTTTCCACATTAGTCATTCACCATTGCTAGTAAATGCACATACCCTGGAGCTATTTTCGATCCTCTGTTCAAATGAAATCGCAGGAGAAATCAGGTGCAGGGGGCTCTTTTGTGGCTGTACCTATTATCTGGATCAGCATGGAAGGGATTCCATAACAGAGCTCTTACAATGCATTCCTCACACCAACGAAGCACTTAAAAACCAATTTGTACGTTAATATTCTTTTTCTCCAAGCCGATCTCTGGCAAATGTTTCAAAGGGCCCTTCACTACAGCCAAAAAAAAAATGTCAAAAAGAGGACACTTGGGGAAATGCAGAGCTCACGTGTCAAGAAGTCTGTCTGATTGCAGTAGATGGGAGGCAAAGGATTCATTCTGTGAACGCCTTCAGGTGAAGATGAGTTGCTCTTCGGCAAAGTACACTTAATCAGACGGAACACTTTGAGCTCATACAGACATAGACGGATGAAATGCGAAGGCTTGAAATAAATAGCATCTGTGCCTCCTTTTAGCTCTATGAAACTACAAATCCCACATTTGAGTAAAATCTATCATGTTAATTTCAGGTTCAGTATTCAAAGCCTTTTTGACCTAAAGACAGTTTTTTCTGCCTTGGGAATTAGAGACGCATTTGATCCCATCACTGCTAATTTTAAAGGCATTTCAGGTAAGAGCCTTGACTGAATAAAAAATGATTACTGACCCAATAGTTGCAGACTCTTACATTTTAATCATTAAGTAGATCTGGGCCTTCTGAATTAATTGTATTTCTTCCTTTATGAAACTCTGAAACACAATTCATGCTCCACTGTTTTACTTTATTGCCAGCAATTGCATTTGGAGCTGTTGTTCTGCAGGAACAAGGCATCTGAAAGGGACAGGGTTGGTTTCCGGTCTTGCCTTGTTTTTTTCCTTTGCTTTTTTTTTCCTCCTTTCTTTATGATTCAAATTGTCCGACAACATAGGCCTGAAAAATAGTTACTTATTCAGAAATTAAAGATGCTTTAGTACAACTTGCGTTCTTAATTGTGTTTTTAACACATTTAACAGTTAGAAGTGCTGTCCAGCTCCTGACATCGCAAACAATATTGGTCTATGTCCATGCTATTCTGTTTTGCTAATCCAGTGACCAGTAGACTACATTATACTTTCCCTTTGCTAAAATATTAATGTTGCAGTTGTAAACTGTCTTGGTTTTGGAAATTATCCTGCTCCGTGGAAAATTTTTATCCCTATTTAACATTAAATAAAAAAAGAACCCGAATTACCTATTTTCTTTTTCTTTTGACTATTTCCAGCAATACAAAGTATTTCAGCTTAGTCCTTTCTGTTCATAGCAAAGACTCAGAGCAGAAGCTGCTCAGAGAGATGCAATTCTTGTGCATGTGAGTGAGTAAATGAAATTCTTCCAGTTCACACCAAACCTGGTTTTCCAGAAAAGTTGCTTTACTGGGATGAACCTCAGAAGGCACATTATTTATGGGTTGGGATTTTTTTAATGCTATTTTTAAAATTCAGCATAGCATTATTCTATTGTTTATATATTAAACCACAGAGATACACATTAAAATCATTTGTTACTGCCCACATTTTTGTTAAAGCATGCTGCTTCCGTTACTGCAAACTGATGTTAATATAATGATAAAGTACACAAGGATGTATTTTATAAAGTTAACATCTATTTAAATAAGATAAATACTTTGAGGAAATGAACTCCATCGTAAACAATATAATTCAGGAGCTTCTTTCCTATACACGCAGCTCCGTGGCTTTCATCACACAGGGTAAGGCTTGCAGAAGTATTTGATCCTGCATGTAGTGGGGTTATGGGTTAAAGGATATGTTGAGGCCCTTCTCAGTTCTACTCTTACACTACTCAGTTATGTATCGTAATAGCAGGTTATAGCTCTGATGGTCTGAGAGTTAAGTGAGGGGGAATTTAGAAGGAAGGTTTATCTTTTATTTAACCAATAGACACAGCTGGAAAAAGAACAGGTAGGGTTTTAGCTATTCTTTCATATGAAGCAAAAGCTGTAGTCTCCAGAATATTTACTCTCAGATCAGATTTAGCAAACAAACGTGTTACTTCATTTCAGAGCTGGAATAGCTTCTTTATCCCTGAAAGCTTCCATCCTTTTTTCCTCTAAAATACGATAGATTTAGCTAATTTAAAAAATTCCGCTTCTCCTCAGTTTTCTCCTGCTTGTTTCCATCCCAGATTTTTGACTGGACAAAATTCATATAGAAATAGATTAAATGCTCCTTTAGTAATTTCTTGTCTTCACCTATATGTCAGATGATCCTCAGATTCAGATAAAAAAGATGAAACCTCTCAACCTTCCCTACTTTCTAACCTCTGCAATTAGGTGGGGAGAGGCAGACTTGTAACCCTCTCCTCAGTGTCTTTCTGAAATGCATTTTTTCCAAGCTCCATTACATGTTACAGTACCATTGTTTCTTCCCAAAGAATGTTTTTTTTCTGCAAATCCCCTTTTAGCGGTTCCTCAATCCATTCATTGTCCCGACTGTGTTAATTAGTTTCTACTCTCACTGTGTAACCTTGCTTTCCACCCCAACATGGACATCTCTCAAACTAGTAATTCCCATTCAGCATTCAGTTCGCTGTTATCTGTATAGTGGGAAAATAGTCATAAAGATGAAAGAATAGGTAAACATGGGTAGAAATGAGGAAGAAGAGGGTATTTGCAGAGGCAGCTCATGGTTTCCTCTGTAGCAAGAGGCGAATGTGTGCATTCCTACTCACACTCCCAAGGGAGCGGCTTCCCTCTGCCAGCTCCAAGAGGTGGTGTCTTCCCTAAAGTAACCTAATGTTCCCCTTCCTACACGTTACCTCACTCTAAAGATGTTCCTATGTTGCGTCAAGCGATGCTCTTCTGCAGCGTGAACGCAACTCTGACCACTAGACATCAGTAGAAATGACCCAGATTGCAGCTGCCTCCATCAGTAGAAAGCTGAGGACACTCACAGCCCTTGCAGGTTTACTTCAGTACAAACACAGCCAAAATCTTGTGGTTTCCCTTTCCCCAGACTGAATGATAAGCAGTCAATAGCAGAAATGACCTTAAGCAGAAAAATACCTCAACTTTGCACTCACAGCAGCGATTCTTTCCTAAGAACTTCACTGCTTGTCTGAAACCAGCATCCACATTTCACATGGAAGTCAAGAGGCACTTGGGCCATCAAGCACGCTGTGCTTTCTGAAAAAGGACATGCTCAGGCACATAAGTTCCAGACACACGAGTGTTTTGGTTTATTCTCCAAGTTCCCTGAACATAAGGTCACGTTGTTCCAAAACCAAAGTGGTTATACTATCTCAGCTACATGCCAGGCTAAAAAGTCCCTAATATTAAGCTAGCTTAGATGTTCAGACTGCCCACACTCAGCCACACGAGGTATATGTATGAGTAACCAGGAATCGCATCAAAATGAGAACTGAGGATCTTGTCATGTGGGAGTCAGATACAGAAAAAGCAACGGAATGGCAGGTTTATATGGTGCTGTCATTCTGCATATGAGGTACTGAAGGAATCAAGGAAAGGAATTTCTGACAGGAGCTAAGAATGTGGCACGTATCGCATTCAGCATCAGTTCACATGTGGTAAGGTGGAGAGCAAAGACTCCATGTTATTGCAGCAAATTCCTTGAAAGCAAAACATCGTGTAAAATTATATTCCTCCTACTAAGCATTAAGTACTTTGTAAGCAGCGCTATCTCAAGAATAATGTTTTAGAAATTTTTGCTTCATTTTTTAAAAGTGGAATAGAGCAGAGGCCAGGCATACAGCAATATTTTTCCAGCAGCATCAGCTAATAATGCAGTTATTGCTGCTCCAGCAAAATACCAAGGGACTGGAATCCTTTGGCTTAGCCAACCTTTAGGGCAGTTCAGTGTCAGTCACTGAATTAGCTGCCTGGCTGAACTATATAACAGTATGTGTTCCCCAGATTCTGCAGAAAAATAAAAGCATTCTGAATTTTTTTTAAAAAAAAAAGTTTGCCATGAAATTCAGAAAATAACTACTACTATTAATTTCTGGTTTTTTGCAGAGCAAGATAGTCTTTATATTTCAGAGGCTATTCACAAAGCAGAGATTGAAATAACAGAAGATGGTACAAAGGCATCAGGAGCTACAGGTAAATCAAATATACAGACTTCACTTCTGGAGCTTATTATAGAAACAACTACTAGTTTTCTATTTTTATTTTATTTTTTTTTAAAAAGCACAGTATCATTTAAATGCATGCCTAACCTAAATTTAAATTTTCATATTTAACATGCTTCCATTTTACCTTTGTAATTGTTCATAAGAACTCTTTAATTTTTGATCTCAGACTAACATGTAAAGCCTTAAGGGAAAACCAGCTTTACCAGCCCAAGGAAAATGCAGTTTGAGAAAATAAACCACTTATTTTTCTGTTGGTTAAATCTGTTTGTTCAGACCATAAAAGCAAAGAATGAAAAACGGTTACTAACATTTTACCTATAGCTCCTGAACTGTTATGGGGTTGATTTTTTGAGGATGATCACTTTGATAGCAGTGAAGGTAATGATGGAAAATTTGGTCTTCATGAAGACAGGCTTGTTTCTTATATACTTCCAAGTAGTCTTATATACTTCCTCACATGCAGTAGCTTCTGCTAACAGATCAATTCCACGTGAACAGCTGGGGCTGGCTGAGCAGGGACATTCCAAGTAAAATCTCAGCTACGGACCACAGAGACAATAAATGACCTTCAGAAGATGAATGACATCTCAATAGAAACCCTCCATCACAATTTACATAAACAGGGGAACTGAAATTACAGAACTGTGTATTTCCCTCTTTTTTTTTTTCCGCCCCCATGTGGACATTATTTAGGAAGGCCCCTGCTTTTTGTTTACAATGTATTTATTTTTACAATGTGTTCTCAATACCATATAGCTACAAGAAGAATTAATTTAAACAAGACGTACTTGAATACTAGCTGAGCCATCATAATTCTTAAGGACTCTTTATTTAAGCTAATGATGAGCTCACAACCAGAGAGGGGAACTCAGGGAAACCTAGGTTTTGTTGAGAGCTCTGTCAGAGAAATTCCAGGATAATGTAGATATTTCTGCTCTTTTCTTTCACATTTATAAAAGGCACTACATTTCTGTCTTGCTTATCTTTTTTATCAGAACAGCATAGCTAGGAATTGGCTAATGGTTTAGGCAATAGCATGGTATGACTTCAGCAGAACTAGCATTGTGGTAAAACGAAAAAATTACATTACCTTTGAAATCCGACTCACTTCAGCAACGAGATACACATGAATCACCTACATGCAGTCTCAAAACACTTGGCTTGTTCATTCACCTAGATCGATTTCACAGTTGGATAAAATTTTTGGTTTATTTGTAAAGCAGAGGAGGAACTCAAAACTCAAGGGACTAAACATCAGAGCTTCAGGGCACTCTACAGAAGATGGAAAGAAAACGGACACATTTTACTAATATTTTCTTTGTTGCATTACAGCAATGGTATTACTAAAAAGATCTCGAACTCCTATTTTCAAAGCAGACAGACCTTTCACATTTTTCCTGAGACAAGCTAACACAGGTACGTGTGCTCTCCACTTGAGCAGCAGAATCCTTCACAAATAGCACTGAAAGCAGTAACAAGGTCTTTGTAAATAACGTGTTATTCTATACGCCAAGAAATTCCAACCCCAGAAACAGTGGGTTTAAAGTTTTTGAAAAACAAAGCATAGAGTTAATTTCTTCAAAAAAGAACGCATGACAGTCATACAAATCAGAGAAGCCAGTAGCCTCTTCTACATATATACAGTATGTGCTCAAAAAGGATTTCTATCATAGTTATAGGCCCTAAAAAGACCTTACAGGTCTTTACTGACCCAGGATTAAGGACTGACCTTCACAAGGCAATTCGAACTACAAATGGGGTTGGATCTGCTGGATTAATATCTGAAGAAGCTACATTCAAAGCCTTTCCCTATAAATGAAATGCATGAGTGCCCTCAGAGATAGCACATAGCAAACAAATTTCTGCCTCTAGGTACCAAGACTCCAGGCCCTGAAACTCCCTGCCCCAATTCCTACCTCAGCAGTTTCTAAAGGGATAGCTCAGAAATTCTCAAGACCAACAATATTTTGCCCAGCTATGGCTCAGAACATGCATAAGCAAGTTTTTCTTCCCTCATATCTTGAATAGCAACGCCTTCTAGGAGATAGCTTTTACACATCCGGACCCTTCACTACTTTCTAGCTTCACGAGACATCAAAAGCCACAGATATTTGCTGTACATAATCAGACAACTCAGCTCTGCAAAAAGCCTAACTTGTCAGTTTTGCAAGGAACTGCTAAAAAACCCTGTGCATTTCTTTTGCAACTGATAACTCTTCTTCCTGTGAATTAACTCCCTCGGCCCCCAAAATAAACAAACAAAATAGTGGAGCATGTCTGAAAGCGTGAAGCATTACAGCGCTCCTCTGGCGTCAGCCTTAGACTCTAGGTCTCATTTCAGAAATCCAGTCACGCAAGTTATTCCAGAATTTCTGTGAAAGGAAAACACCATGTAGCTCGTTGGGACTAAATAAAGAAGAATTGCACCATTTATCAAGTGTTTGCACCTCTGAAGCGTCAGGCCATCTCCAACTGCTCTTGCCCTTCTTAGCAATGCAGTAAATTTACACCTTAAGTATCTTCCTAAAAATTACTCGGACTATCAAGTTCCTCTTGTAACCGGGGTCAGGTCCATTTGGATTTCCAGGAAAATATAACCAGTTATAGGGTTCAGTAAAACACTGAGGCCTGGCAAGGGGGCAGAAGAGAATCAGGTTCTCTATCTGCTTCCAAGCAACACACACAGTTCTTTTTAGTCAGTGAACACCCGTGTATGAAATATTGCTTTAAAAATTTGTACCTTTTTGACCAAAATGCAAACTTAGAGAGAAAAGCACTATCTATCTTGTTAGAAGTTTTGTTTTAACTATGCTTTGGCAATCATTAGGAGTAAATGAATAAAAGTAGTTTTACTCAGCAAACACAGAATTAAAAAAAATAATTAAACAAAAGCACTAAAAGCTGATCTATGAAACCTGAGCCACAGACTCTTCAGGATTAAGAACAAACTGATTTCAGTGAATAAAATTGCTCAGTTTACAATATATGGTAAAACATTAAAAAAAGGAAGGAAACCAGATTGTATAAAAGTATTTTTATATGAAGCGTAACGAAATAAGTCTTTCAAACAACTCAAAATCAGAAGAACATATCTTAATTTATGCTTTTTAATTCAAAATGTAAAACTGGCTAAACCAGTCATTTCGTTTGTTCAGACTTAGTGACTGAAGTTCTTCAGGTATGAAAGGGGGAAAGGGTAAACAAGAACTGCCTTTAACATATTTTATTAACTAGAGGTACCTAAAACTTGCTATCGCCATAAAGTTCACAATGAATCTTCAAGTGGGCCAAAAGTCTTCTAGTAGTAGCAGAAATATATTTTCCAAGGCTTAAAATTGCATAGTTCTGCCTGAAATAACTGAAAATGTTTGGGGTTTTTTAATCTGAATTTCAGGTTTGAACACATTCCCTTTGAGGGACAGGCAAGGTAACAGCAATACAAACAACTGAACCACAAATTCAATGAATCTGAGGCAGTGATTTCACTCAAGGGGCTATAATCTACAATAATCTATAATCCCCTCTGCAGTATCAATACCAAGGAATGAATTTAGGCTCTGTTTTACTCAGTTCAAGTGGTTCTGTAGCCAATTGTTTGAGTAAGCTTCAGGTTTTGGCAAATTTCTGGTTTGGGCTACCAATCTTTCAGAAAGGCCTTTTTGGTCTTAATATAGAAATAAACAAATTATTCTAAGGCAAGCATACCATTACAGTTGATTTTTCCACACAAGCAATGAATGATCATAAACCTGCCAGTGCCGTGCTTAATTTACATGTTTAAACTGAACTACACTTTGGTCCCGAACTGAAATAATGTTAATATTGTTTTCATTCACAGGTTCAGTACTCTTTATAGGAAGAGTTACAAATCCTTCACAATAAACAGCAGATGAATGTACTGTCTTCTGTTTCTCCTGCAGCAAGCTTTCCTCCAATGAAATTAAAGGATACATTATATGTATTCATTAAAACAGTATTTTAAACAGTATCACTCCTGCAAGAATAAGAGTGAGCAAAGCCCCCTCCACTACCTTATGACTTTGTACACACTGTTGGAAACTTACAGCTATTTAGGAATCATTAGGCCACAACTACAGCAAACACAGTGAGTATATAAACATCTGAAGAAAAACTGAACAGATTTTGCCACCTAAATGTTTAAGAATATGGGCCAACAGCTTCTGCTTAACTTCTTCAGTGTGGCTAAAGTTCAGCTTGACTGTTGCCAAGTATGTAGGTCATCTGAAAGAAAGCATTCCACGAGAAAGCTTTGTGATATTTGTTATTTTTCAAGCACGACTGACTTTATTCCCCTGTCCTGAAGTCAAAAACTTAAGAACAAAATTGAAATTAAGCCTGGTCCCAGACTAATTTATAATCCATCTGAGATAGCAAGGTAACAAGCAAACAGTAAAATGGTGTGAAATCTGGTTGAGAGGCTGTTTCAAAACTGACAGAACAGGTAGGAAGCAGAAGTACTCACTCAATCAGTGACCAAACAAATATTATCACCAACAAAAGGTAGTAGTACTTCCCTTAAGTGAACACAACATAGAATGGACATGCCTAAAGAACACTGAAAGAGGCTAAAAGCATCTAGAAAAATTTTTTTCAGTATCCAGACAAAAGCTGGGATACGGTGTTTTAATACAAGATTCAGCTCCTCATGGCACAAGCATCAGAAACCCTGGTCTGTAAAGATTTTGGGTGAATCATAGAATGGTTTGGGTTGGAAGGGCCCTTAAAGATCATCTAGTTCCAACCCCCCTACCATGAGCAGGGACACCTCCCACTAGACCAGGCTGCTCAAGGCCCCATCCAGCCTGGCCTTGAGCACTTCCAGGGAGGGGACATCCGCAACTTCTCTGGGCAACCTGTTCCAGTGTCTCATCACCCTCACAGTAAAGAATTTCTTCCTAATATCTCATCTAAATCCACCCTCTTTCAGTTTGAAACCATTATCCCTTGTCCCATCATTATACTCCTTGTTAAAGAGTCCCTCCCCATCCTTCTTCTAGACACCCTTTAAGTACTGGAAAGCCACTATAAGGTCTCCCTGAAGCCTATGAACCACTCCCTCCTACGAAAGGCATCAGAGGGAGGCTGCTCCCACTGAATCACACTAAGCTTTCCAGAAGGCAGGACCACCTACCAGAGAGGACATTGCCAATGAAGCATCCAGTAATATTTTCTGTCCAAGCAGTAGCACCTTCTGGCTGTTCCTGCCTTTGTAAACACCGTAAAACTTCTGACACAGGGAAAACTTGGTGTAGCATTCCTGGAAGCCTCCCAACCCCTGCTTTACTACATTGTATCCTCATAAAACTGAGTTTTGTCATTGCTGTGCATGTGCATGCGGGACATCAGTTTGTTATGCCAGCCACCAAAAAATGAAGCTCAAAGTACACACGGCCACAAGATATTGTCCTACCACAGCTGCAGTTCAGTGTTGGCTTCCGTTCACTCAGTCTCTGATTAAGAACAGTGATGCAAAACTGCTCTTCAGTCTTCAATGTTGATACTAGAATGTATATAAAGCTCTGGAAAGGGAAGGCAAAATGAAGCGTTCCAATAAAAACTGTACTCAATCCTACACAAAGATTAAAATAGAGCTTTTATTGATGGAATAACAAAAGTGCTTTTCTTAAATATTTTTCAAAATACATTTATACAACTTACAATAATATATCCAAAATAACTGTATATACAAAACATTACCTTGTTTAATGTATGTGCTTTTTTTTTTGAAAATTACAAAGCAACGTTTTTGGCAAAGTTCAACCTTAAGAGGTGATAGTTTTGAAGGTTGGATTAAGAAAAATAGAACCTGAGGGAAAGTGACACTTAAGTCCATGACAAGCAGGAAGTTCTCCATTTAGTTAAATAAAAAATGTTTTTGTAGTATTTTTCACATTACAAAAATAACAGAAGTGAAGGGGAAAAAAAAGATGATGGATACTTTTCTTATCATTTTATAGAGCAGCTTCTCATTCTTTCAGGTACAGAAACTTGAGATAAGAGTGCATATCAAAAATGAATGCAAGTAAGGACAGCAGTGCCCTGCTGTGGGGCTTTCTCTCGTGTGCAGTGTTTCTTAGCTGCTGTTGATATGGTTGACCTGATTTGATCTGCGATGGATTTCTTCCAGAAAACTCTCAAGCTGTTCTATCAGCATTCGTTTTTTAAACCTGCGTTTAAAACAAAGCGTTATAATGGATGCACACAGTAATACACAGAACATCATTCACAGAACTTCTACTGAACCCTGTAAACTTCAGTTACTATTTTAGGAACAGTGCAAAATGAGGTTATACACACCTCATGTGTATGTACGCAGTCTCCTAAAGTTCTGAACTACTAACTTGTTCCTCCATTTAATGAGAGAATACAAAACTAACTCTTAACTATAGTCAATTCTAGCATGTTGCTGAACATCACTCTTCCCTCAGAAAGCCAGGAAAAAGAGAGTTAACTATTTGCTGTTTCCAGAAGTAAATCTCTGAGGTACAGGAATAAAATATTTGTCAAAAGAACTACAATCCTAAAGCTCACTTTTAAGGATTTTTTTTTTTGCATGCTTTCACAGTGTGTTCACAGAGGTTAAGTGAAGTTGGTACTGGTGAAGAATAGCCATTACACAGTGCAGAGCAGATTTCCTGACAAGAAAATACAAACTAAAAGTTTGAGAAAGGAACTAAAGAGAACACAGACATAATCCATACTTGGGAGTATCTGCAGCACTATCCCATACTGATTATGTACATTTGAATAGCAGATCTTTTTGTCACCTTTGCTTCCACCTCTGCCTTGGCACACACAGCTCCTTGCTGTTTCCAGCTAGTCCTCCCCCTTGTGACATTTCTGCATCTGAGAAGCTCCTTCTGATCAACACTTTGCCGGCCGTACGCATACTCCAAGATAAGCGGTGATTAAAAGATCATGCACTTTCTCAACTCAGTACTATTCTGAACCATACACCTGAGTTCAGTCCTACAACCTTACTGAACCCCAGCAAAAGCCTCTAGTCATAGAATCAGAGAGCTTGGAAAAGACCTCTAAGATCATCAAGCCCAACCATCAACCCAATACTATCATAACCACTAAACCATGTCCCAAAGTGCCACATCTACATGTTTTTTGAAGGTCTCCAGGGATGATGACTCCACTACTGCCCTGGGCAGCCTGTTCCAACGCCTCATTCTTTCAGCAAAGAAATTTTTCCCAATCTAAACCTCCCCTGACACAACTTGAGTCCATTTTCTCTTGTCCTATCTTCTCCCAAATGACATTTCTGGCTCACAGAAACATGGCATCTGCCCTAACTCCCAGACCACAGATCTCCCCACAATCTCAGCTTGACTGTGTGGAAACAAGCTCTGATTTCCAACCACCTACTATCTCCTTGAATATCCACGGCCTGAGCCCTTACCCATCCTTGCCTCATCACAGTTCTCCTCAGACAACTCCAGAGAAACCCCACACTTCAAGTACTGATCCCCTCCATTCTTCCTCAGTGCTTTCACAACTGCTCCCTGCTTGTTGAAAGGTAGAAACATGGGAAATAGATAATTATCCTTTCTCATTCTCACTAGTAAAAGTAAAATTATTTAAGTTAACAGCAAAGCGCTTTACTGTAATACAATCCTAGTGACAATTCAGCAAGCTCATTCTCTGTGCAAGTGACTGGGCAATGTTACTTTGCAAAATACCTTTAAGCCCCCCTGAAGCATCTGTACAGAAGTTAACAGCAGACATTTCCTAGGAACTTAAAACCTGGTGGGAGGTGGGGAAAACACACATTGCTACCTATTCTGCCACTACTGTTTGCACAAGAATTCAGGTTCACAGTGTGCTATGTCAAGCCCTTCAGTACATCTCACTGAAAGTTGTTTTCAAAATGCTGAACCCTACAGCAAACAGGTTTTTCAAGGCAACAAAATTTATCACATTAACTAATATTGTAACAGAACTAACAGAATTAAGATTGGACTCTAATTCAGCTGTTGACTCCGCTAGGAATATTAGAATCCGTAATAATAAAACTTCCTTGAGTAGTTCTAGCTATTGAGCATAAAGCTTCATTACTATTCTGAAACTGGCTGTATTAATTCTTGCCATAATTTTTATCAAAAGTGCATATAACTAAAGATTTGCAATTGAGAGGTGGTATCTCCTTATTCTTAATATCTTCACAATTGACTGGAAGAAAAAAAATTAAAAAAATCCATTATCTACCTCATCTTGATTTCTGCCTCTCAAAGGGGACAACTTTTCCGCTTTGAAAAGAGGAACTGTGGAGAAGTTGGTTTCCAAAGGAAACTGAAAACTATGGCCTGTTTTAGAAATCTCTCTCTCCTCTCACAACTCTCTAGTGGATCAACCACTGGAATTGAAGGGGGGCTGTTTTTAAACACACACTTTGTCCCTGAAATGCCCAAGAACTTCCGTAAGTCCACGTTCAGAGTCAGAGCTCCCTGGAGCACGGAAATAGCTCAGGCATCCCAAACTGGAATTGCGCTCTGTGACACTGCAAAGGTCAGCTCTCAGTTAACCAAAGACTATCTTGACAATTCCACAGAGCCTAGAGATGTTTTCCCCAGGGAACCTTGGTTAAATGTGGTAGCTTGCCTTCATAAAGAAAGAAGCAGAGAAATACATAGAGATTTTAGGCAATGTTATCCAGGTGGCTGAAGTGACCACACTATAAAAATCTCATCAGGAGAGAAGAGGAAGGAGAGAGATTAATATGTTCATACACTCAAACCAATAAAAATCTAAGTTTAACAACAGTCAACAGAAGCATAATTGCCAATCCCTTCTACCAGTAGACACAGTTGGCTATGATGGGAGAGAGGATTTAATTCTAATGCATCCAACGGTGACAGTCAACCACTGCCTA